GGGAAAGTAACGGGAAAATGAGGGGGTTCGCTCTCTCTAGCACTTCGTTTCTTTCCTACTTGTGACGCAGTTTTTGCCCATCACGTTCCCATTTCTATACAGGAGCGTATGGCATCCCTGTTTGAAAACTGATAGTTTTTTCATTTTTTTTTCGCTGCCTTTGGATTGCTTTGCATCATTAAGGGTTTCGGCCTATCGAGCCTGGATCAGGCGTTGAATTCAGTAAAGCTCTAGGAGGTAATCGTGTGCGGGAACAGTTCACAGGTAGAAGTGTCTATTATTTTTCTCATTTGTTCCACTTTCAAGGCTGACTTATGTTTTAAGTGGTTTTACTCACCTACAATCGTGATGCTGTGCTAGCTGCCTCATTAGAACGGCTTCATCGGATTCCTTATTTGAACAAAGTCATTGTCATTTGGAATAATGTCGATCGAGAGCCATTAGGAGCATGGCCAAGGTTACATGTACCTGTGGAGTGAGTTTCACGGGCTCATACTCATTTTTTTGTGAATGTGAAGAAAGTGGCGGCATTTATAGTCCGCGTGAGAACAATCCCTCGTTCGCTTACTTTCGCCGCGTCACGTCGTCGTTGCATCCACAATTCGGTGCCGAACCACGGCTCTGGAAGCGTAGTCTACACAAAACGCCCTGGTTTAAATACAATATCCGAATGCAGCTTACATTTGGTACATTTGTAATGAAGGAAGGGGTTCAGAAGGAGCTATGACATAGGGCTGCCCTTATTTGGTAAATTAGTTAATCAAAGTGTCTGATGTACCAAGGAAAAGTAGAGAACGGGGTCGGCTCTGGATTTTTGAGATTTCAATATCTGTAAAGGTTGAAAATTTTCTTTTTCATTTACGTTGATGATCATTTTTCAATGGGTATCGTTTTAGGTTCATAAAGGTTTCGAAAAACAGCCTCAACAATCGTTTTGTGCCTTGGGATCGCATACGAACAGAAGCGGTTCTATCTCTCGACGATGATATTGATCTGAAGCAACACGAAATCGTCTTTGCCTTCAGGTAAGTCTGTTATTTAGGTAATCATATTCATTTTCGTCCGCTCCGGCATTGTCAATTAGCTTTTCTGGATGCTGTCAAAAATTGGGAGTGGGTTGTAAGTAATGAAGAGTTGTGGCGAAGAGTTTTTTACTCATTTTGGTTTTGATGTTTTCTTTTAAGAGTATGGAGAGAGAACCGTCATCGGATTGTCGGATTTCCAGCTCGATACCATGCCCGCTATGGCGATGAGATGTACTACAATAGTAATCATACTTGTCAATTGAGTATTATACTAACTGGAGCTGCGTTCTTGCACAAGGTCAGTTTGTTGACTTGTCCGAGCTTTATATGTCCTGTGCAGGTTCCTGATTGAAGGTTTAGCGAAGAGTGAATTATCTGAACTGTCAATGATGCCTATTAGGACACTCATGCCCTTTTCCAGCACCAGCGTGATGGGACCGGCATTACTAATTCTATGCTGTTGAGCATGTGATTGGTGTAGTGGAATGAAGGGTGTAGGATGAAGTCTCGGGTCGTTGATCAATCCCGTCTGAGGGCTGTGCCCACGCATTCGACTTCCATTCAGAATCGTAGTGGCGTATTCAATGCGTATGTGGTCTATACAATGACTTGCGGCGGCCAGGCGATGAACAAGTCAGTGCTTTTATCCTCCCAGACGAGTCTGATACCAATTCACCGACCCCGGAAGGATGGAAGGCTTGGTTTGCCCAGGCGGATATCGATCCGAAATTCGAACCCGTGACCATGCATGTGAGATAATGCGCCTCTTGCCACTGCACCATCCGCCCTCAGTGTAATATTTACAGTACAAACACAGTATCGTAGAGGTCTTA